ATCATTTGGCACGGGAGCTTTACAAATATAAATTACAATGGCAGCTCTAAGACAAAGTATGCAGGAGGAGAAGTGTGCCAAAATGGAGATGACTTGGATGGGAAATCACAATAGTGTGCACTGCATTGGCAATGCACACTGATTACAAGTGTAGACAGGTGTGAGTGGAAAATCTGGAGAAAGGTGAAACTGAGGTAAAGAGGCAATGACACGAAGAATACACAAGAGGGAGGCACAAGGACAGCAGAAATGATCACACAAAAACACAAACCTCACACAAATTTGAGACTAATATGTAATGTAATGTCTAAAAATGGCTGAAATTTGGTCAATTTTACATTTTAACTTTTGCGTCCATCTTCGATTTCTGATTTATCTTCATTATGTGCTGGAGAATATTCATAGTTATGTATGCAACACATTCCTCTCCTCTTGAGTATCAGTCACCTGGAGGCAGGACATAAAAGCCTGAATTTTGCCTGAAACTCTCAGACTGAAGAAGTCTCTTGGAYGAGAGACGAAACGTTTCATTAAAGAAGAACCCGTCCAGAAGACCTATACAATTTTTTTTCCTTTGATTTTTTACCTGGATTACTGAGATGCATCAGGACACTCCTCTCCTCTTGATTTGATATGACAAGCCCRAAGAAAGAGACTGCTTTTGATGGATTTAATAATAGATGCCTTCATTAATTTCTAATGGCAAGCCCTAATAAAATATAGAGATCTTTTTTGAGGTGGATAACTATAGGCGCCATCATAAAAATGAAAGGAGGCAGAGGAATACCTTGCTTCACAAAGCATTTCTCTGCTTTATTATTCATTTGATTTGGTAAGCCCTAATTAATAAAAAACTGGTCCAAATCTGCTTATTCTTGTTTCAGACGTACACTCCACTCCATTGATCATAAACACAGGGGCAGCTGCCAAGGTGGGAATAAAGTGTACCATGGAGAGTATTATGTGGGCAGATGTAGGCAACAACAATGTGTACAATGTAGACTACCATGTAGCAAACTAATCATATGAAAAAAGCTCCAATTTTCAAAACCTTATTACTGATCTTTTATTGGTTCCTTGATTGCTATTGAAATTTCATTAATTTTCATCAACAAGTAGAAGCCCAATGAGATACTTAACCAAAACTCTACCAGCTTAGAGTGCTGCTGTGCAGAGTCTGTGTGTACCTGTGCATAGTAGTGTGTGTGTGTGTGTGTGTGTGTGTGTGTGTGTGTGTGTGTGTGTGTGTGTGTGTGTGTGTGTGTGTGCAGTAGTTGAGAAATGTCCATGTTTTTGATGAATGAATGCAGTTGCAGATAAAAATAATTTATTTCTGTCGTCACATAGACTGTCTGACCAAGAGGAGCCATCTGTTCTTCCTCTCCTGTGTGCTGGATTTAGCAGAGTATGTTTGGACAGATTCCTACTCTTGTTAATGTGTTTAAATCTTTAAAAGAAATCTGAGATTTTAAATACAAACTAGTGGTTTGAATGCTGAGTGCAAAGTGACTGCTGAAATCTGCTAAAGAAGCTGAATCTGAGTTAAAGGTAAAAGACTAGCTTAAAACTAAAAGGAGCAAATCTCCATCTAAAAGCTAAACAGAAAGCCAAAAGTAGCAAGATGCTAAATGAAAGCAATGAGTAGCAAAGGCTAGCATAAAAAAAACAAACCTAAAAGCAGAAAATGCTGGCTAAATGCAGCAAAAGGTTAGCAAAAATAATGGTTAGCTAAAATAGCAAATGGCTAAAAGTAGTAAAATTTTAGCAAGAAAACAAAAAGTAGTAGCCTCAGTGGGATCAATTAAATGCTAAAATAGCAAAAGCCTGCCTGGAAGTTAAAGTTATCAAAAGACTACTGTAACTAAAATCTACATGCAGCAAAACGGCAAGATAGAAGTTAAAAGTGTCTAAGTGCTGGCTAAAAATAGCTTAACTAAAAGACAAACCTTGCTTATCCGAGGTCAGGTCTCGGGGTCAGCAGTCTAAGCAGAGAGACCCAGACTTTCCTCTCCCCAGCCACTTGGGCCAGCTCATCCGGGGGAATCCCAAGGTGTTCCCAGGCCAGCTGAGAAACATAGTCCCTCCAGCGTGTCCTGGGTCTTCCTCTGGGTCTCCTCCCAGTTGGACGTGCCTGGAACACCTCACCAGGGAGGAGTCCAGGAGGCATCCTAACCAAATGAACCACCTCAACTGGCTCCTCTCGACATGGAGAAGCAGCGGCTCTACTCTGAGTCCCTCCTGGATGAATGAGCTTCTCACCCTATCTTTAAGGGTGAGCCCAGACACCCTATAAAGGAAAATCATTTCTGCCGCTTGTATCTGCGATCTTGTTCTTCTGGTCACAACCCAAAGCTCGTGACCAGAGATGAGGGTTGGAACGTAGACCAACCGGTAAATCAAGAACTTTGCCTTTTGGCTCAGGTCTTGCTTCACCACGACAGACCGGTACAGCGCCCACATCACTGCAGGTGCAGTATCAATCCACCTATCGATCTCCTGCTCCATTCTTCCCTCATTCGTGAACAAGACCCAGAGATACTTAAACTCCTCCACTTGGGGCAGGACCTCTTCCCCGACCCGGAGAAGGCCCCCTACCCATTTCTGGCTCAAGACCATAGTCTTGGATTTGGAGGCACTAATCCTCAACCCAGACGCTTCACTCTCGGCTGTAAACTACTCCAGTGAGAGCTGGAGCTCACTCTCTGATGAAGCCAATAGGACAGTATCATCTGCAAAAAGCAGAGATGCAATCCTAAGTTCACCAAAACAGATCCCCTCAACACCTTGGCTGCACCTAGAAATTCTGTCTATAAAAGTTATGAACAGAATTGGTGACAAATGGCAACCTTGGCGGAGTCCAATTCTTACTGGAAACGAGTCCGACCTACTACCAGCAATGTGGCCCAAACTCTGGCACCTGTCATACAGGGACCTAACAATGGTTTGGAAGGGGTCGAACACCTTCTCTAAGTCCACAAAACACATGTAGACTGTTTTGGTGAACTCCCAGGACCCTGCTGAGCGGGTGGAGCTGGTCCACTGTTCCACGACCAGGACGAAAACCACGCTGCTTTTCCTGAATCTGAGATTTGACTATCCGATGGATCCTCCTCTCCAGTACCCCTGAATAGACCTTACCAGGGAGGCTTAGATCTGGGATCCCCCTATAGTTGGACCACACTATGCACTCCCCATTTTTAAATAAGGGCACCACCACCCTGGTCTGCCAATCCAGGGGAACTGTCCCCGATGTCCATGCAACATTGTAAAGTCATGTCAACCAGCGCAAACCCACAACATCCAGAGCTTCAAGGAACTCCGGGCAAATCTCACCCATCCCCGGTGCCTTGTCACTGAGGAACTTTTTAACCACCTCGGTGACCTCAGCACCAGAGATTGGAGAGTCCCACCCAGGGTCCTCAGGTTCTGCTTTCTCATGGGAAGACATATCAGTGGGATTGAGGAGGTCTTCAAAGTATTCTGCCCACCGACCCACAATGTCCTGGGTTGAGGTCAGCAGTGCACCATCCCCAATATAAACAATGTTGGTGGCGAACCTCTTTCCCCTCCTGAGATGCCGGACGGTGGACTAGAATCCCCTCGAAGCTGTACGGAAGTCTTTTTCCATGGCCTCTCTGAACTCCTCCCACACCCGAGTTTTTGCCTCAGTGACCACCGGAGGCACAATCTGCTTGGACTGCCAATACCTATCAGCTGCTTCCAGAGTCCCACAGGCCAAAAAGACCCGATAGAATTCCTTCTTCAGCTTGACAGCTTCCCTCACCACTGATGTCCACCAGCGGGTTCGAGGGTTACCGCTACGACAGGCCCTGAAAACCTCACGGCCACAACTGAGGTTAACAATGGAGGTACGGAACATGCCCACTCGGACTCAATGTCCCCCACCTCGCCCGGAACGTGTTCAAAGTTCTCCCGGAGATGTGAGTTGAAACTCAGTCTAACAGGAGACTCTGCCAGACATTCCCAGCAGACCCTCTCTATTCGTTTGTGTCTTCCAGGTCTGACTGGCAGACACAAACGATGGTTCCCCATCCCCAAAGTTCCCCACCATTAGGGCCAACTCACCACCAGGTAGTGGTCAGGTGACAGCTCCGCCCCTCTCTTCACCCGAGTGTCCAAGTCATGCAGCCGTAGATCAGATGAAACGACAACAAAGTCGATCATCGAACTGAGGCCTAGGGTGTCCTGGTGCCAAGAACATATATAGACACCCTTCTGCTTGAACATGGTGTTCGTTATGGACAATCCATGATGAACACAGAAGTCCAATAACAAAACACCATTTGGGTTCAGATCGGGGTCGGGGGGTCTCCCAATCACGCCCCTCCAGGTTTCACTTGTCATTGCCCATGTGAGCATTGAAGTCCCCCGGCAGAACGAAGGAGTCCCCGTTAGGAGCGCTCTCCAGCACCCCCTCCAAGGACTCCAAAAAGGGTAGGTAATCTGAACTGCTGTTAGGCACAAACAATAGTCAGGACCCGTCCCCCCACATGTAGGCGGAGGGAGGCTACCCTCTCATTCACCGGGGTGAACCCCAACATACAGGCACCAAGATTGGGGGCAATAAGTATGCCCAATCCTGTTCGGCGTCTCTCAGCATGGGCAACTTCAGAGTGAAAGTGTGTCCAGTCTTTCTCGAAGAGACTGGTTCCAGAACCAGAGTGGTGCATCAAGGTGAGTCCAACTATATCTAGTCAGAATATTTCAACCTCACACACCAGCTCAGGCTCCTTCCCCACCAGAGAGGTGACATTCCACCTCCCTAGAGCCAGCTTCTGTAGCCGAGGATCGAACCGCCAGGGTCTTTGCCTTCGACCACTGCCCGTTGCACATTGCACCCGACCCCTATGGCCCCTCCCACAGGTGGTGAGCCCATGGGAATGGGGACCCACGTCTCCTCTTCGGGTCATGCCAGGCCAGGCTCCATGGGTGAAAACCTTGCCACCAGGCGCTTGCCAACATGCCCCACCTCCAGGCCTGGCTCCAGAGTAGGGCCCCAGTGACCCGTGTCTGGGCGAGGCAACACTTACCATACTATACCATACAACTTTTATTTATAAAGCACTTTAAAAAGCACAAGGCCAATCAAAGGGCTGTATAATAGACAGACCCAAAAGGACATAGTTGAAATTACAGTCACTTAGTCACACTTAGACACGCTTAGTCTATTTGTGGTGCTCATCATGATGGGCCTTTGGGCTGCATTTTGACTGATCCCTCACCTAGGACCCATTTGCCTTGGGTGATCCTACCCCGGGGGCATGAAGCCCCTGACAACATAGCGCCTAGGATCATTGGGACACTGAAACCTCTCCACCACGATAAGGTGGTAGCCCAGGGAGAGGATCAGAGAGTTAGCTAGAGTGAAAAAAAAAATCTAAAAATATTAAATGGCTGGCTAAACCTAAAATTAGTAAAAGTCTGGCTAAAGGTTAGAATTGCCAGCTGCAAGCAGCAAGCAGCAAACATTTTGCTAAAGTGATTGTCGCGGCAAGAATGGTCAGAACCACGGCGAAAAGGGTGTTTAAAAGACAAGTCTTGCGGGTGTGATTATAAAGTCATTTATTGATGGGCAGACATTAAACAGAAAGCAATCACGAAGTCTGTAAGATGTGGGCCCGGCTGTCATCGGCGGACATGCAAAGTTATACTGTCAGTTATCATCATGTGATAATGAACAACCAATCAGAATGTGCCTCGTTCTGGTACATGAAGTAGGTCAGCTTGATGCTGACATCCGGAAGGATATCACAAGATATGAACAAGTGTTCATATCTGCAGGAACAGGAACAGGAACGAGTGGACAGTGTCCAGGTGATACA